TCCTGGACTTTCACCTCGTAGACGCACACTGGTGGCTCATCCGGCCATCGGCAATTAGAAACAACCATATTTGATTCTCCCAGGATAGATTATGTATGGTAAGGCAATTTGATTAATTACCTACCTCTCAGTTTTTAACCTAGTTAGATGACACTTTCTCAATCAAAGCATAATGAGTAGATGGCCCCTTCTCTAACAAATAATGGGCTGACTACTAATTGTTGGACAGTAATTATATAGGGGCACAATTATAATGGTGTCAGTCAAACAAATATATTTGTAACAAAAAAACATGAGTACGTACGCTCTGGTTAGGTATAGGAATTTTCGACCGGTTTGCAGCCCTGTTAGATGACTCTCTCTGAAACAAATAAGATGTGGTTAGGTAGGGTTTTGGGATGGCCACCTACCAAATCATGGATTTTATTTGGACGATTATTATAGGTGCAATATACTGTAGGCGCACACCATATACAACAACTAAATACTCGTATGCATATTAATTACTATATTTATATGTAAGATATCGATATCTTATCGAAAATGTTAACGCCCACACGTGTGGGCGTTGACCATCTCGATCACACACATCCATCACCGTCCAGTACTATATGCACGAATCTTGGCACAATCTGGCTGATTTTCTGTGTCACGTAGGACAAGGCGTGTGTGTGGTGTGTGACATAGTTCGCCCACACTTCGGTTTTACCACACGGAGGGGCTGGTGTGTGGGCGTTTAGCAGTTCACCCACACACCAGTTTTCAGTCACACACAAGGGCTGGTGTGTGGGCATTTGCCATCTCGCCCACATGCCCGTCTCCTCTCCCACATCCCAGCTGCTATTTGCCATGTGTTTTTGCAACGCACATGGCAACTGCCCCTAGTGTGCTTTATAAGCAGGTGACAACTCTCTTTTTTTACCCGAGTTGCCATGTGTTTTTGCAGGGTACACGGCAACTGCCTAATGTGCACGTAAGCAGATGGCAACTCTCTTTTACCGAGTTGCCATGTGTTTTTGCATCGTACATGGCAACTGCCCCAACGTGCACGTACATGGCAACTGCCCTAACGTGCACGTTAGCAGATGACAACTCTTCCTTTTTACATGGCAACTGCCCTAGCATGCTTGTGAGCACATGGCAACTCTCTCAACTGCCTAGTGTTAGTATGTGGCAACTCCTAAAGTTATGAAATCATGGCAACTACATTAGATCAGACCATATATGGCAACTGCAGTGGAGCAACCATGGCAACTGCAGTTGTCCGACATGGCAACCGTAGTTCAGCGACATGGCAACTGCAGTTAAACGAACATGGACGGGGGTCTGGACCATGGCAACTGCGGGCGCGCGGCGGGCGTCACGCGTTGCGTGCGGGACCGGGAGGATACGAGGCCTGACATACGGGCGTGTGGATGTTATCAACTTCGCCCACACGCACACGTGTGAGAGGGTTCGGGAGGGAAAAAAATATATGTGTGAACATTAGTTGTTTTGCCCACACGTAGGTGTGTGGGCTGGTTGCTGTCCATGCCACACGAAACGTGTGGCACAACTACCCGATACACCACACGTGTGGCAGTTATCGGGACCCTATCTTATATACAATGCATACTTTATATTATACATTATCCCTTGTTGATAATTCACTTGCAATCAGCAATAACACTATTTATTTGATTCGGTCTGCTTGCTAGGTAGCTAGTAACGTTTTAGTATTTAAGTTACTCGTGTGTAGTTCCTTTTTCTTATATGCAGTTAGTTCAATGACGCGTACATCAGTACCATAAAAGGGAACAGTCGGTGTATATATATAGATACACGTACTATTTTGTGAAAACAACATTATCTAGTACTATTGTATATGTACTTCTATCACCTACGTACTATATATGTGTACAAGCCTGGCAAGAAGTTGGCGTAGTGATCCAATTGTTCGTTGCTTGGTCATTCTCATGCTTGATATATATTCTTAGTCTTTACGCACCAAAAACCTCGAGAAGTTTCAAGGAGAATATGTAATACTAGCAAATATGCCCGTGCGTTGCAACGGGAGAAAAAAAAATCATGCCTCATACATACACTTAACGACATCAGCAAATCTCTTGAAATCTTTCATGATGTCATGCAACAAGCAACATGATAAGTGGTGTTGTGCAAAATATAAAGGTGTGATGATTATTGAAGTGTATTCAAGGTGTTTAGAATTCATTATACAACACAAATCTATAAGGACAAATCTACCTAGTTGCCATTATATGTTTAAGCAATTGCTGTTGTTTCTCGGTGATGCCCAAAAAATATTGCATTAGAGTGAAAATAGCAAAGTACATTTTAGTATTTATTGATGGTGCATAAGAGCATTATTTAGTACAAGTGCTAGGTACATCCATTTGAGGGACAAGTTTTTTTGGACGGATGGACTATGCATTTATAGTAGGCATGTGTGTGTGCGCGCACGCGCAATCATAATTTAGTTCAAGACTTAATTTGGTTTGGATAGCTCCATCAAAAACAACCAATCTATAAGGACATATGTAATAGGCATTTCTAAAGTATCTCATAATGTAAACAAGGTATTGTTTAAGTTTGCATCCTGAACATAATTTCAAAAATTAATGATAATGGCATTTTTGGAATCTACACATTTTTCTGATGAATATTCATATATCACATGTCAGATTTGGAGTTAGGGTTTCAAGGATATGAAAATTTCAAAAAGTATTTGATCTTTTAAAGACAACCAATCTGTAAGGACATATGTAATAGGCATTTCTAAAGTATCTCATCATAGAAAGAAGGTATTATTTAAGTTTGCATCCTGAACATAATTTCAAAAATTAGTGATAATGGCATTTTTGGAACTACACATTTTTCCAATGAATATTCTATGTCACATGTAATTTTAAAAAGTATTTGATCTTTTAAAGACAACCAATCTGTAAGGACATATGTAGTAGGCATTTCTAAAGTATCTCATTATATAAAGAAGGTATTATTTAAGTTGCATCCTGAACATAATTTCAAAAATTAATGATAATGGCATTTTTGGAATCTACACATTTTTTTGATGAATATTCATATCTCACATGTCAGATTTAGAGTTAGGGTTTCAAGGATATGAAAATTTCAAAAAGTATTTGATCTTTTAAAGACAACCAATCTGTAAGGACATATGTAATAGGCATTTCTAAAGTATCTCATCATATAAAGAAGGTATTATTTAAGTTTGCATCCTGAACATAATTTCAAAAATTAGTGATAATGGCATTTTTGGAACTACACATTTTTCCAATGAATATTCTATGTCACATGTAATTTCAAAAAGTATTTGATCTTTTAAAGACAACCAATCTGTAAGGACATATGTAATAGGCATTTCTAAAGTATCTCATTATATAAAGAAGGTATTATTTAAGTTGCATCCTGAACATAATTTAAAAAATAAGTGATAATGGCATTTTTGGAATCTACACATTTTTCCGATGAATATTCATATGTCACATGTAACTTCAAAAAGTATTTGACCTTTTAAAGAAAAAGGTAGGGTGGGGGAATCGAACCCACGATCTGCAGCGCAGAAGGCCAAGGAACCAACCAGTGCGTTGCTCGCATTTTGTTGTACTTGAGGGGATCTCGACTTATTGAGCTATGGCGAGCGCGGACAAAAAAAAAGATCCAAACGTTTTTCTCACTTACCGGTGGCATTGGTGGGTAATTGTTTGCAACTTTAGGGGCAGTTTTAATGACGTACGGGCAGAAGCGATAGCCGCTTTATTAATACTAGCACAAATGCCAACGGGAGAAAAAAGATAATATCACACGTCTTTTCTCGTTTATTACAACTCGTATTACAGTGATAAGTAGAATTATTTTTTGCCTCCATAAGTAAACTTGCTGAAATGTCTCTTATGTTTCTCTTTCTTCTAATTTTTTGCACAAAGCTCTTCCATGAATCTGCACATTCCTGGTAGCTAGCACACTATTTATAATAGGTTTTGTGGGAAGTAGTACCGCCGTGCCCCGTGCATGGAGCTCCTTGGTGCAGCTGATATGGTTGCACACCTAGAAAGAACACAATGAAATAATATTCAAGGGATATTGCTCGACGCCAGCTCAGGTGCTTCACACTAAGGGAAGACCTTGGGCTTGGACATGTCATGCACTGTTCCAGAATCTTCATCATGCTAATGCTACAACGGCCAATAGAACCTGACTGAGGAAGCGTCGTTTTCCTTCTCAGTCCTCTGGTGATGTTTGGTGGGGCAACCTATTGTTGTTGTAGGTACATTATGTAAAGCATGTACTCTTTTTTCTTTCATTATTGTTCAGCTGCAGTTGCAAATCATCAAATGGGTAGGATGTATTTTTTTTTGCCATGCCGAAAAAGGATGTAGTTATTTACCATCCTACTATCATCGGGTTACACGGCGACCATGATTAGGAGAAGTAAAATATCCCCTTTGGTGAAAAACAAAACATTTAGAAGTAGTAGTCCGGCTTGGACCATATTTTCTTATTGATAATCTAATATCTCTTGAAATGTAAAGCTTCTCTACTTTCACGTCCAAATATTGGGAAGCACCAAACAATATTATGTCTGTACTGGAGAAAGAAGTAGAAAACCTAAAAGGATTAAGTTATTGATGCTTGAAGGTCGTCTAGGTAGTATCAGGTAAGAATAGTAGGAACAGAATTGCATCAAGTGTTACCATCTGGAAAGTTCTGGCATGCATGCCTTAAGATATTCAATTAACTAAAGTCCTAGAACTTACAAAGAGGAAATCTAACAAGATAAGAAATGTTCAACTTTCATAAGTAAAATTGAACCTGACGATATAATTATCTATGTTGTGTGAAACTAAATCAATCAATTTTGGTTATTACAGGCAAAGCAATATGATAAAATGCTCATCTCATCTCCAACTTGTCTGGCCTTTATAGCAGCTAAAGTAGCACTAATTACCTCAACCTCTGCAGCAGATGCTTCAACCAAATAATTAGCACATTTGCACTATCTTCTGCACACACACACAAAATAAGTTCGAAACACATCTCAGTACGCGGTAGCTCACATTTAATATGAACAGAAGACCATCCATAGAAAGATGGTCTGCACAAGTCTAGGACAGAAATAATGCAAACCTCGGTGTCACTGGACCACAACATTCTCAGGGCTGATATCCGCATACACATCCCCATTAACAGGAGGAGCAACTGGGTTTCCAAGAACCACAGCTCCATCAGCTGTTGTTTCTGCAGTCATTTGCATGTTTGTTCATCATCGTAGCAAATATGCCCGGTGCTCATCCAGCTTGCATGTTAGCAGGAGCTGCAGTTACAAGCATTTGTTGTTTCAGCAGCAAGAAGGTCATCTAGCAGCACACCTGCGGTTACAACTACATATTAATTTTTGCGTCAACAAAAAGTAAACTAATGAACCTACGAAGGACGGTGGATATCATATTCAGAGTCCATGGGAGAAAGGGAGAAAGCAAACTGCATGCATTATGGATTATATTGCTACAATATAGTGCAAGCAAGGCCATCCTTAGGTCCATACCTCTTAGGAACGTCCAGGGGCATGGTCCCCTGCAGATAGCTTGGCCTCGTTGAGTAGGAGGTTGTCAGGTGCAACATTGTAGTTGGGAGGGTTATCTGTAGTTGACGTATTTATAGTATAGTATTATTTACTCTTCATTCTCTTGAATCCATTAGACTTGTATGTAATACATATCTTAAGAAAATAAAATGAAACAACATCAGATACATGTAAACATGAAGGAAACACATTTGTCTAACTAAAATAAGACAAAGAAGAGATCCTTACTGTAATTGCATTCTCAACCAAGTGAAATACTAAGCCTTGCATGCCTATGAGCTCATCAAAAGGGACATCCTCGGCACCATCCATGTCATCCAGACCATCTAACATATGCTCAACTTGGGCCTATTAGAGTGATTTGGATGTTTGTCAGAAAGCTTCTTCACCCAGCTGGCAAGTCTTCAAACCGAGCATGCAAATGTAGATTCGCTTCCTTTAAAACGTTTCATGCATGATCAATAATCTATAGTCCGATGATTCTTGCCAAAAATCAAATATCAAAATTAATTGCAGGTTAATTAAGCAGTGTAGAAGTAAAGCAATAGACTATCAGTTACACAAATCGTTTCAGGTTTTCAGCCACAACAATGTACAAAAAACATCAGATCTCCAGACAAATTGCCATTGGTAAGTAGCTCTGTCTAACATATGTTTAACACTAACTACTTCTTTTTGCGCCAAAAAGAAAACAGTAAATGCAATTCTGACTTTCAAAGCAAATATACTAATCCAAAATTACAAATAGATATTTGATCTACAGGAACACAAACACTAATAACCGGGACAGATCATTCCAAGCTCAACCATTTCTGATATATAGGTTGTACATCAGAAAAATTCCCCACTACATTATCTAACCATGTATAAGACACCACTTCAGAGTTCAGACCATCAGTTCAAGAAAGTAAATTATGCAAAACTATTAAAAAGCAGATGAGATGCGAGTTTGGCTTCAACAATCATTAAGATATATCAGGAAATTACAAAGTTTGCTTCAGTGAATACCTAAGTGCAGAACCAACAGATGGAGTTCCGACGAAGTGTGGAGCAAGGGTGAACGGCGGGTGGTGTGCCGGCAGCTCGATCCCCACCTCATTCCCTCGTGTGCCGCACCAGGAGAGGAGCCATGCGCCCCTCGCGCGCCTGCGCGTCCCGCCTGGCAGTGGCTTTGACGCCGGCGAAGTCCTCGCTCCCGGACGCCTCCATTCTCGGGTCCTTCGTCTCCGTGCGCACCTCCCGCTTCGCTGTCGCCGCCTGATGCGGACCCCGAGCGTAGCCTCCCCGCCTCTCCATTTTTCTCCTCCTTCGTCTCCGTGCGCCCATCTCCGTGCTCCCCTCCCACCTCGCCACCGCCACCTGATGCAGCGCCCGAGCGCAACGCGACCCCCTCCCAGGTCAGATCAGGCTGTAGTGAAGCTTCACATCGGGATCCATGGCGCTGTCGTTCCTGACAGAGACAAGATTTGAGAGAGAGAAAAGAAAGGGAGAAGAAGAGAGATAGAGTGTGGGGGAGAGGGTAATGGACAACGGCTGGAGGTCGGCGGCAGTGGCGCGGGACGCCGGCGTGAGGAGCAGGCCGAGGCGCTCGGGACCTGCTGGTCCAGATCGAGCGAGGGGCCTCGGGGAGGAGCAGAGCACGAGGCGGCGGCGTACGAGCTAGATCGGGAGGCTGTTTTTTTTTTCTTTCTCGTCATACCGGTTCGATTGACTTTATTATATGGACTGCGGGTTTATTACTCTAAATCACAAGGACTTTTTCGTAAAAACAGCGATGACGTACCACCAGAAGCACTAATTGCTTTATTAGTAGGTAAAGAAGTAAAGATAAAGATAAAGAGGTAAAGATTGTCTCCTGTCAAGCGGTAACTCCTAAGGAGATATACAACCCTAAAAGTTACCCTTGTATATCAACTTTGAACACCAAAGAATAAAAAAGACACCGAATATTGTCTCGAGGGTAATCGATCGAGTCGAGTACACTCAGCTTTTGATCCCGTCAAGTTTCATGCCCTGCGGCCTCTACGTTAAAGCAAACAAATGCAAACATGTGATGCCGTATTATGCAGAGACAGGGGTGATCCTCCTTTTTTTGAAAAGAAAAAGTGATGTTGTGTCAGTTTATATTATGCATTCCTACTACTAAAGTTTTGAGTTGATTAGTTTTCGGTCATTTTTCTTAATAAACTGACCAATTCTCTTCATTTATATGAAGAAGAAGAGAGTTCCTGACTTCCTGTTGTTTGTTCAAAAACAAATTGAGTTGGTGTGAGTATACTCACTCTCTTGCACCCTTACATGTGAGTCGAGCCATGCACCTTAGAGCATCTCCAGCCGTTGGCCCTCCAAGGGCTTGAAAAATCGTCGCCTGGGGGCGAACCGACGCTAAAATCGGCTTGGGGGCGATTGGGTTCCCAGCCGCCGACCCCAGGACGCCCCTAGGCGCTGAAATGGGCGCAAATTTGCCCGCTTTTTAGCCCATTTTCGACGCAAAATCAGCCCGCTATCGGCACAAATCGGCCCATATTCGGCTTGCTTCGACGCAAATTCAACAGAAGTTATTTTTGAACACATAGTTCATCACATAAAATCAATAGAAATCAAATAGTTCAACAACAAATAGTTCAATACGAATTATATAGTTCAATAAATAAAAACTCATATTTCATCACACTCGAGCTACGTGTTGCCCTTGAGCCTCCATAGGTGCTCCACCAGATCCTGCTACAGTTGTTGATGCACCTATGGGTCTCGGATCTCCTGACGCATATTGAGGAAGACAGTCCAGGTTGCCGGTAGCTAGTGATCAACTTGGACAAGAAGACCCTACCAGTAATATGGTTCAGTGTCAAACACTGGCTCTTCCTGCTCGCTCTCAATGATCATGTTGTGCAAGATGGCACAACAAGTCTTGATCTCCCACATTTGATCTTTCGACCAGGTCTGAGCGGGGTACTGGACAACAGAAAATCAAGATTGGAGCACACCAAATGCCCGCTTGACATTCTTCATGCAAGCCTCCTGAACCTTCGCAAAGTGGGAGTTCGTGCCTCCTAGCACAGGGTTTGAGATAGTCTTCACAAATGTAGACCATCTCGGATAGATGCCATCTGGTAGGTAGTATCCCTTGTTGTAGTGCCATCCATTGGCCTCGAAGTTCACCGGAGGAGAATGATCTTCAACAAGCTTGGCAAAGACAGGGGAGCATTGCAGCACGTTGATGTCATTGTGAGTTCCTGGCATACCAAAGAAGGAGTGCCAAATCCAGAGGTCCTGTGTGGCCACTGCCATCAAGCCCTCAAGTAGCACATTGGGCCATTGGCGCCTTTGTATATCCCCTGCCAAGCAAATGGACAGTTTTTTCATTTCCAATGCATGCAGTCGATGCTTCAAAGCATCCCAAAAAATCCTCTTGCTGCATTCTGTGCTAGGATTCAAGCAGTGTCTTCAGCATTGGGTGGTCGCAAGTATTACAGTCCAAACACTGCCACCACTGTCCTATAGAACTTAGAAACACTCAATGGTTGTGGACTCGGCCATGCGCCCATAGTCGTCAGTGAATCGCCGGGAGCTCCTTATGCAAGCATCCTCATAGTTGTCGTGCACTTCTCGATTGAGGTGAATCCAAGTTTGCCGGTGCAATCCTTCTTGCACTTGAAGTAGCTGTCGAACTCCCGGATGGAATTCACAGTCATGAGGAAAAGCTTTCAGCTCATCCGATAACGGCGCCGAAATACTTTGTCGCCGTGAAGTGGAGCGTCGGGGAAGTAGTCGGAGTAGAGCATGCAATAGCCTTTCAGACGATGTCGGTTCTTTGCTTTCAGCCGCCCCGGCGCCGAGCCACCGCGTCGTCGATTTACATTGCTCGCGAGCAGGGCGGTCAGGGCGGCGAGGACCATGAGATGCTCTTCGTCCTGGACGTCGGCATCGGCTTCCTCCTCCAGCAGCGCCGCGAGCGCCTCCTCATCGTCCGAGTCCATCACCGAGCAAACAAATCGCCGAACACCTGACGGGCGTGGTGGGCGCACGGCTGCCGGTAACCCGCCCTGTGTGGCCGTAGCGCCGGAAAACTCACCCAGAAAGGTGGTGGAGAGGTTGCCGCGGCGAAACCCCTCCTTTTCCGGCGGGGAATGACCTATCTAGCGGTGGTGGGTGGTGGGCGGCGCTGGGATCGGCAAGGTGGTAGGAGGCCATGCAGGGATGGGGGGCGAATCTGGCCGTTTGTCTTGACTTTTCGCCTGACAGTGTGACCCAGATGTGGTTTTCCCTTCCGCCGGAGCCCCCAAG